CCATTTTTCACCATTATCATATATATTGACCAATAAAAAAAGGAATCAACATTAATAATTTACTAAATAGAAGCTGCAACTTAGATTTCGTTACCAAATTTTATCAAACAAATCTTAACATGGTTATCTTCTTATAATATAAGACAATTGTAGGGTTAATTAGTACATGTTAACTTTTACATATGATCACATAAGTATTAGTACTTTTTTCCCACAAAAGTCATTTAACTAACATTTATCATAATTTATTCAATATTATTTTATAATATTTAGATTTTAGATATTTTATATACAAGTGAATCTCAACCTTATAGTAATAAGATTGACATATGCAATAAATCGATATTCGATATTACCATTAATCAAAACTGGACCAAAGTTCACATGGTTTCTTTGAATAATTTCTATTTGATGTTATATATATTTTTTAAAACACATTGTTTGAGGCTTTTCTTAAAAAAATGTTATCAATCACCAAGATTCAAGATGTTCAATAAATGGTAAGAGAGAGAGAAAAAAACTTAAAATAGGAGAAACTTTTTATTCTTCCCTTTGTCAACTTGACTTCTAATCTCTAGAGTTTGATGCCTAATATGTCAATTTGTGTTGACTAATTAAGCAATTCCTATGCATAAAAAAGGGTGGTGCATAGTAAGCACATAAAGCAATAAAAGAATATTTGAACAAGAATGAGTTCTTTACTTTTGGAGATTGAACATGTAATCCATCATGGTCTTGAAGAAAAAAGAGTCAAATTATTTTATTCTATGATTTTGATATTAAATGTTGATCTTTATAAGGAATCAGATTTGAAGGGAAACCTTGGACCTGACGTGATAAAATTATTGTCATATAATCAGAAGGTCAAGGGCTCAAATCACCCACACAACACAAAAGTTTAGTGCACTGGACTATCCTTAATAACAAATACGATCGTCCTTGATTCCTCGCGAAAGTAAATGAGATGTCATAATAACAACATAATCACGTCGCATGTTTAAAATAAATTATTAAAAATTAGCCAAATTGTACCAAAATCGAAAAGATTGAAAAAAATTCAAAAGATCTTAATTTGATTATACTCGATACTCGATAGAATAATAAAAAGACTGACATTGTATAAATTTCTTAAATAACTGGTCGAAACGAGCTATTATACCTCGTTTGTATACCTTTTCTTAATAGAGTACTATTTTCTCTTTAGAATACAATATTTTATAGTAATGATAGATCTTTAATTATAGATAATAAATTATACGTAAATAATTCTAACTTGACTTCTAGTTTCCTAGAGTTTTTGATGCCTAACATGTCAAATTATATCAACTAAAAAGCAATTACTAAGCTTCAAAAAAGGGTGGTGCGTAGGAAGCACATAATAAATATTAGTTCTTTACTTTTTTGGAGATTTAAAATGTATCCAGTATGATCTTCAAGGAAAAGTAGTCAAATTATTTTATTCTATAATTTATCGGACATTAAATTTTTGATTTTACTAAGAAATGATGTGTGTCTAAAGATGTGGTCAAGTGGTTAATGGAGTGGATTGATAATCACGATTTCTTTTCATCTATCCTAGTTTTGACATATAGAGTTACCTTGATATCTATTGTTGGTGAAAGGTGATAAATATCCCATCAAATATGTACATTAATGATTTCTTTCCATCGATCCTAGTTTTAATGAAAATATCAAGTTACACGCAAACTGATACATTTTCTATTGTGAAAATGACATGGTGTAACAATTTAAAAAGGCCTAACTTTGGACTATATGATCCTAAATATATTACAGGCCTAAAATAGTGACAAGTTATAATTAAATTCTGAAATCTCAACTTGCTCTCTCTTTTAGCATCTCCCTGTCTCTCTTTGACATCTCTCTTTTCTTTTTTTTTGTTATTTTTTCATTAACTTCGAATAATAATATTCAATTTAATAAAAATAATTACATGTATATAGCCTAAATTTTCGCATTACACCACTATATCTTATTTTTTCGCAATAGTACTTATATACAACATTATACATTTATTGTACATAATGAATAAACTTGTATACAAATATATAATAGTGTATAAGAGGTGTTTATACATAATTTTACATTATTATTATACACCTTATAAAAAATTATACACACATATAAAGTTTAAATAATATATCTACATTGTATACATATACACACACATTGATTATATACATTTACACTACAAAACATCTTTCAATCATCACTAGAGTAAATGATCAAAATGGTCCTTGATGTATTGAGGTTGCTTTATTTTGGTCCTTAATATATTCTAGGTGATTGAAATAGTCCTTCATGTATGACAAAATGTGTTCACTTTAGTCTTTTGTCCTAAATTTAACAATTTACCCCCAAATTTAACAAAATGTGTTCAATAATTATTTTGTTAAGTTTAGGGTAAAAGACTAAATTGAACACATTTTGTCATACATGAAGGACTATTTCAATCACCTAGAATATATTAAGGACCAAAATAAAGCAACTCCAATACATCAAGGACCATTTTGATCATTTTCTCTCATCACTACATATAACTTGCTAACATCAAAATCACCACACACAAAAAAAAGGTGTAACAATTTTATTATAACTTATAGGGAAAAGAGTTTGAAAAATACTTCAATTTTGGCCGAAATTGTTGTTACGATACTAAACTTTATGGAGGACCTTTTACCCCTGAACTATTTAATAGTGTATTTTCTCTACCCCCGAACTATTTAATAGTATATTTTAAAGGTATATATGTGCCCATGTGGACACATATATACCTTTAAAATACACTATTAAATAGTGTAGGGGGGGGGGGGGTAAAAGGTCCTTTCCAAAGTTTGGTATCGTAAGAACAATTTCGATCAAAGTTCGGATATATTTCAGATCCTTTTCCCTAACTTATATAAATCTCATTGTTTTAGTATCTAATTACTTCACTTTCCTTTTTATTATTACGAAACTTATCAGAATTTAGACTTTAGATACATTTATTTGGTGTGTCTAGATACATGTATCGTAGACACATGAAATTAATATTATGTGTAATTTGTTCAAAATACATTGTATCTAAGTGGTTTCACATGTATCTAACTCTTTCGCTCACCTCTCTTCATGTCTCAAATACATGTATCTAGTGTAATTTCACAGACTATCTGATTTGCCTCTCTCCATATTTTAATGAATCTGATATCAAAAATACATATATTTTATATTTTAGATGTATCCATAGTTTCCACTATTTTATTAGTACTACTTAATATTATTATTTCAGTATAAAGAGATTTCCACCAAATAGAAAATAGTAAAAATTAGACAAAACGTATATAAATGCAATCCCGGCAACCATAGGAAACTGGACCAAAAGCTTCTCCTATAATTTTTCTTGCAGAACCCCAATTTTTGCATATAGGTCAGTCCCGATATTGTATTCTGATCCAAAAATCTTGTTCGGTTTTGAATATTTTGCTACATTTAATTTTCTGGGTATATTTCAAAATTTCTTTTTTCTTCATGTAATGCTTGTTGCTCAACTGTTAAAGTTGGTAGTTTTGAATCCAAATTTGTGCTGTTTTGGGTGCATTTTCGCTTTTTCTCATCTGGGTATTCTTTGTTTATTGGTTTTGTTCAACTAGTCATCATGTTTCTTTGTTATTCGGTGTAATAGCCTTCTTTTCTTTGATTGCGGAACCATGTAATTTTACATAAATTTCTGTCTGAATTGGAAGTATCTGTTAATCATGATCTGCTTAAAGATACTGCCTCTCATGAATTTAATTTAGTATACTAACATGGATCAGATATAGTGGTGGAACCAGAATTTTCACTAATGGGTTGAAAAAGGGGTGCAATATATATATATATATACACATTAAAAAATATAATTTTGAAACAATGTAATTTTTCATCGAAGGTGGTTTGGATGAAACCTGTTGGCCCTACCTAGCCCCGCCTTAGTAAAGTATACAAAAATTTAGTTGATTGTTGAACGACGTAAAAGTATGGGTGAAAAAGAATAAAGAAGCATAGTGAAAAGAGCTACTAAAAGCTAGCTTGTAACTAGTTTCAGGATATTTGAGAAGTAGAGGGAAAGTTCTTATCTTTATGTTTGTGTAGAAGGCTGATGCATTACAAGCTATAAAACAACAGATGATTTCAAAACTTTTGTTGGGAACTTAGAACATAAGTGAATGATTGATGCAAATTCTACAAAATTGTGAATGACTCTACTTTTCTTACATATTTGGACATTAGGTTTTTCTAGCCGCTAAATATAGAGCCGAATGGATACAGAAAGATTCATATAACATACTCTTGCTAATTTGGAATTGATGTATAGTTGAGTGACGGCTTAATGCTCCAGTGCTAAGTTAGACTGCATTGCCATCTGCTTTTTACCACATAGAACATGGATTTGTGTGTACTTTCTCAGTGAAGCAACTAAGCAAAACATTTCAAGAATATTGAGCTATCTCACACTATTTATCACCTATTACATGGATTTAACTATGGGTTTCTGTTGAAGTGTGTGACTATCTTATCTAAAAGCTTAAGCTATTAGAGAGAACACACTTTTGTTATATAATTGTATTCTCAACAGTCTTATGCAACATTGGTGGGTGTGTGCATCCAATATGGACAAGGAATGGTCTTTTCCTAATTTATTTGTTAACTAATTTGTGATGTTAGTGTGTAATTAATGAGAAAACTATGCTTGTTTCATTTTGTGTCAACCATGTTGCAAGAATTGAAAATAAAGGAGAACTTCATTCTTCTGAAATGTTTAGAGGGGAAGCAGCTATTATGATACATCATAATTCTCTCAGCCATCCAATTTCTTTGGCTTTTTTCACGTAATCATGTTTGATGAGAGCTATTTGCTAATCTATGCTTGCAGATCGTCTATCTTACAATTTACTGTTTTCACTTATCTTTGAATTCTCATTCTTATTTGTTCCCCTTTTGTTTTTTGGGTATTTTGCAGAGTAAATCTGGCATAACTTTTATCTTTCAATGGATATAGATACTGCTAATGCTGAATCCATTAATCAGAGAGCTGGTCTCTTAAAGGATCAGGTTCGACTAATTAAGAGAAAGGATTGTGATAGATATGAGATTTCCTCAATACCAGATAATTTGTCATTTGAGAAAGGATTCTTCATTGTAATCCGTGCATGCCAAGTGTTGGTTCAGAAGAATGAAGGACTGATAATGATAGGAGTCGCTGGTCCCTCTGGTGCTGGAAAGACCGTATTTACGGATAAAATAATGAACTTTATGCCAAGCATTGCAGTTATATCAATGGATAACTACAATGATGCTAGTCGAATTGTTGATGGCAATTTTGATGGTAAGAATGCATTACCTTTTTCCCCAATAGTGCTTCGAGATGTTTCTGTTTAGGTGAAAATTAGGTGATTGAGAGTGTAGGGAAAGCTGATTGACAAGAGAGAAACATCATTTGAATTTCATCATTTTCTTTAGACATTTCAGGATTACACTAAAAATTGGTAAGAGTAATTGAAGATCAAAATGATTGGATCTTTGAGGAAATCTACCCTATAAATCTTGGTAAAGGAGGTTCACATCCTATAAATCTGTATTGTGATTTGTGATATGTTTACCAGGTCTTATCATGTTTTTGAAACAGATCCACGCCTAACAGACTATGATACGCTGCTGAAAAACATCAATGATCTCAAGACTGGGAAAGCAGCAGAGATTCCGATATATGATTTCAAATCTAGTTCCCGAATAGGATACAGGTCCAGCTCCTTACTTCTAAATGTAAAAGTGTACTTTCTTATCTGCATCTACGTCTTTTGCGACTTTGTGTACAAGGCACTGCACAGAAACCAAAACAAGTTGGTAAACCTGTTGTTAGACTGTGGACTATATTAAGTGTTTGTTATTTGATAACTTGATAACTTATCTGGGAAACACGTCCAGAAAACTTCATTTGTTTTTGCAAATCAGCAAATTTTATTTTTATGTTGTACAGAAAAATTATAACTTACAACTTTGTTACATGGACACCTTATTTTCCCTGATACTCATGTTTAGGTTTCTGTAAATAGTTGTGAAGTGCCATGACTGTTTTCTTGTAAAGTGGATCCTTGCTTCTGCTTGGCACTTTGTGAATCCTGTCAACTAGTTAAATATTGCTTTATTCTTTTTCAAGTACTCTACAAATATGGTGTTTCTGTTTATTGACTCTTAAATGGGGCCATGATGAAATATTCTTTATTAACCTGCATCGAGTGTTCAGTGATTGTATAGTCGTCTCGTTATTATCTTTTTTATGCTGAGGTCAAGCATTACTCTTGTCTTGCTCTGGATTCATGTTTAATCCATTGTCCTGCCCACCTTTTTTTTTGGCCAGCTATTTTATCTGAAAGTTCTTTGATGTTGCTTATCTTCATTATATATATGTAGCATATAAGTATGAACCGAACTTACACAATTTGGTGTGCTGTAGGACTGTCGAAGTCCCTAGCTCCCGCATTGTGGTTATTGAGGGCATCTATGCTCTGAATGAAAAGTTGCGGCCTTTCCTGGATCTTCGCATATCTGTAAATGGTGGAGTTCACTTTGACCTTGTTAAAAGAGTTTTACGCGACATACAACGTGCAGGGCAGGAACCATCAGAAATAATCCACCAAGTATCTGAAACGGTCTGTTTCTCCAATTTATAATACAGATAAAGTTTGACTAGATTGTCTTCTCACACTCCCAGCTGTAATGTCTTATGCAGGTTTATCCAATGTACAAGGCTTACATTGAGCCTGATCTCAAAACTGCACACATAAAAATTATCAACAAATTTAATCCTTTTTCTGGATTTCAGAGTCCTACGTACATTCTAAAGGTAAGAGCAATAACTTGATTTCAGACATCCTATATCCGGTCTTAGAATATAATAGCTTCCAAACTCTATCTAGAAATTTGTTGAGAAACGACTGATCTATTTTTTCTCGCTTTTAGTCATCAAGGAATCTGAAGGTAGAACAAATCAAGTCTGTCTTGGCTGAAGAACACACTGAAAGTACGGAACTGATCTATGACATATACCTTCTGCCACCTGGTGAAGATCCAGAGACATGCCAATCATATCTGAGGATGCGAAATAAAGATGGGAAATACAATCTCATGTTTGAGGTATGCTCCTTTTATATAATGATTTTTTCTCTTGGAAGAATAACAGGCAATGTTTTCGAAGAAGTTCCTCTGCTAGGCCTTCTTGGCTAATCTTAAGCCCGCTGCTCATGACAATCTGTTATTTTCTTACATAAATTCTCAAATCATGCATGTTTTGAAATTAGTCTGCTTTTTCCTGAAGCAGTTGAAACATATTAGAGTTTTAACTTTTAAGAAAACAAGATTGCTTAAATCTGTTTACCCCACACACACATCTTTTGATTTTCGCCAACTGCATACAGCTTGCTTCACATTGTCTGGCTCAACATGATTTGAATTGTAGGAATGGGTCACTGATTCTCCATTTGTCATATCACCAAGAATCAGTTTTGAAGTTAGCGTGCGTCTTCTTGGTGGATTGATGGCTTTGGGATACACAATGGCAGCCATCCTCAAAAGAAGCAGCCATGTATTTTCTGATGAAAGGGTTTGTGTGAAAATTGATTGGCTTGAGCAACTAAAGCGCCACTATGTGCAGGTAATATATATTTTCTTCACTTTTGTCCATCTCGCTATGATTATATCCCAAAACTTTTGGTCTTGTCGAGGGGGTTTCTTTTGATGCTTGAATACAATTGAGCTAGTAGTTGTATTATTTCAAATGCGTAAATGTCCCTTCAAGTTTGATTTCCATTGTGTGGATACAGTCATTCAGTTATACCCGAGCAATGATTTCCTGACCACAAAATGTGTTTGTTTGTCAACTATTGAGAAATACATCGAATCTGCGGGGAACCTTTTTCTATTATTTCTTGTGTTGTCCTCATAACTACGTCAAAACACTGTTTAGATCAAACTAATTGTTCAGAATTCAAATATTCATAAATAAATTTTAAAAAAAGACTAACAAGTCTAATATTTTCTTCTCTTCTCGTACAAGAAAATTCAATCTATCAAACTTCACATAAGTACCAATTACAGAGAATTTTTCTGGCAAAGGAACAAACTCTTTGTAGGTTGAGTATATAGTTGGGGAAGTTTCTCTTTTCCCATAGTTGACAAACTATGATAGGTTTGTTTTTATGGAGTCATAAGTGAAGATGCTATTAAATTTCAAATATGCTTTAACTTTGCCTAGGTCCAAGGAAGAGATCGTGTTGTTGTAAAATGTATCGCTGAGCAGCTGGGTTTGGAAGGTTCATACACTCCTCGTACATATATTGAACAAATACAGCTAGAGAAGCTTGTGAATGAGGTTATGGTATGATACCTTCCGTAGCATTTGTGATTCACTGTCCCTGCTTCTTATCCCTAAGCAGATAACACATTTCAGGCGCTACCAGATGACTTGAAAACAAAGCTTAGTCTAGATGAAGATATTGTCTCAAGTCCTAAAGAAGCTCTCTCTCGAGCCTCGACAGAGAGGGCATGGAGAAATAAGAATATCAGAAGGTGCAGCACTTGATCCATATTTTCCTTACCTTCTACTTGTTTATTCAATGTTATCTTTCATCAATAAACTGAGTAATGTCTTGTCTGTGGCCAATAATTGCTTAAAGATTTATCTGTTAGTAAAGCATTTGATAACTTCAGATATTCTTTTTTTTTTTGGCAACTTCCATCAAAGAAAGCACACATATATGATATTGCCTCAAAAATAGGAAACTAAGAAAGAAGGGGGTGGGGCAATGTGGGGTTTGGTGGGAGAGAGAGTAGAGGCAGGGGACCCGGAGGATTCTTCAGATCTCACATGTGCACTTGACCAGTCTTCTCACTTCTGCATGATGTGAACATAAATGTGACTTGCAGGAGCTGCTGCACTAGAGTCTAATGAAACAAGTTCAGAATCTCATGAGTTATTGATACAAAGGTTAAAAGAAAGCACATATAATTTGCCGTCTGATAGGATGATGGGAGATTTTATGTATATGCACCTCATGAAATATTGAATTTATGTTGAGAGAATATCATATTCAAATGATTAAATCAATCATACCTTATGAAAGTACTGATATAATTAGATTTTTGCTCTTGTACATGAGCAAGTCATTCTTTCATTTGATATGCATTGACTCTCTCTACACCTGCTAGGGTGTCCGACAAGAAAACTGTCTTTTAATAGACAAATTGAGGGAATGCATTGGGTTATTAGTTAGCTGCAGTTTTCAATTTTACCATATGTGTACCACAGTAGTCACTATTCCTTTTGTTTACTGATCTACATTTACATTATCATGTTACTCACATCTCCTGTCAGTACCTCAGGATGACAAGTACTTCCTCTGTTTTATTTTTTTGAAACTTCTGCCTTTTTACTCTGTCCCAAAAGCGAACAGTCAGCGCGAAGGTTCAAGACTTAAAAATGACACCTTCCTATATTTGGAACAACTATAACTTTGAACTTCCAATTTTACTCTTAATGACATGATTTTACCACCCACAGAAAGGTCATGATATGTATAATGCCACAAGTTCAAAAAGTGTTCCTTTCTTTCTTAAACTCCATGCTCAATAGAACAGAGCTATATAAAATGAAGAAATATGTATAGATGTACCTTATCTACACAAACCAGTTGGGGTAGGGGATAGCTGGGTAGGTGGGAACAACAAAAGAGGATATGATTCTTTCTTTTTCTCTGGACCTGGGAAACATTTTGATGTCAAATTGATTTGTGATTGATGTGCTTTGTGCAGCGGATTGTCACATTCATATTCAACTAACAGGGACAAAAATCTCAATGTTAGTTCTGATTATCAGAGGAATGACAGGATTGAGGAATCAGGGACAAGATTAGCAAACCAGGTGCAATGATTCACATTTATTTATTTTTTCTTTATGCAAACTAAAACACTTTTTTCTTTTTTAGGCATTAATCATTCTTTACATGACTTTTTTTGAGTTTTTTTCTTGTTTATTCCATAAGGGAGCGGTCACACATCTATTGGAGCAAATTTCTACGTTGAATGACCGGATGGACGACTTCACGTCTATAATGGAAGAACTTAATTCTAAGTTGTGCAGCAGAAGAGCTTCTCCGAGAAACAAACAAGCTTCACCATGCATACAAAATCTGACGTTAGAAACTGAAGCATGCGTTGGATCTGCTCCTACTAACTATTTCATCTCTGGTTTGGAGAACGGCTCGTTGACTGGGTCCATCATGCCTAATTCCTCATCTTTTACTTCCACTATTGGAAAGGAGTCTGCCTTGATGGAAGAGGTAAGTTTTTTTTCTTGCGCTTAAAATTTTGAATGAGTTGAAATTAAAATTCTAATTAGTTAAATATGCGTAAAGTCTTAACACAAAGATATAGGCCAGTTTAGCAATTTAATTAATTTCAACATTTAGACAATTTCAATTATATATCCTCTTTTAGTCTTCCTCCTTTTTTCCTTTTGCAATTAATAAACACATAACTATTTTACATAAACACGTAATCAAACCTAAAAGATTATGTAGTTGTATACAAACAAACAAATACCAAATTACCAATAAATGATCGGAATGACAATTTAATTGTGTGGTCATGTATTCATAAAAACATTAGTTCATTACAATATATCAAAATTGGGATAAGGCACAAGTGTCCCCTTAGACTATGACCGAAATCTCAGAGACACACCTTAACTAAACAAAGGTACTATTACCCCCCTAAACTCATTTTTTTGTAATTTTGTACATTGGCTTACGTGGCACACTCCGTGACTCCACGCAGTTGAGGCGCGTGGAGATATTTTGATACCACGTAAGCCAAAAAGGTGTACAACATTACAAAAAAAAAATGGATTCAGAGGTAATAGGACCTTAGTTTAGTTAAGGTGTGTTTCAAGGATTTCGGTCATAGTCTAGAGGGTACTTGTACCTTATCCCTATCAAAATTACAATGAGGTGAAAGAGTTAAGCACATCAATAACAACCTAGCAACGTAAAAAGCACAAAAAATAAGCATAAAAGTAAATATTGTGCATGACTGCGTCTGAGCCAGAGGGGACGTTCATGTCTGAAGTGGCATTGGCACACCCCAGCTGAATGCCAGAAATAGCAGCAGCAAGATTGCTAGGAAGGTCCAAGCATGACAAAATGAAACCCTAGGAATTTATTCTGGCTGTTGCACTTATTCATTTCTGGGTTCAAAATGCCTGTGCAAAATGAAGTTTCTTTGCATTTTTTTAATATGAAGCTGCTAGTGAAACATTCTGCACCTGTGTTTGAAGATATTATGGGTTTTAGGAATTGAATCTGCAACATTTGCTTCGACGTGGTAAGTTTTTCTTTAAAAAAACAATTCCGGCTATCATTTTGACGGTATACTACATAAAGTTTGTAATATTTTTTTTATTAAATAGTATATAGACATATATGTGATTAGGAAGGGGATGTATGACTTTTTTAAGTTACTGTTACAGAAGATAACTAATTTATTATCAGATGAATATTTCCTTATTCCCGTACATTGAATTTGTCACCTAAAGTATCTTAACCTCTTTGGTTGTTCTCTTATAATCCCTTTCGGATACAGATATCCAATATTGCACGTGGACAGCGTCAACTTATGCATCAGCTGGACAACGTTAGCAATGTTCTTCGCGAGAGATTAGGAGAACAGTCTCGACAAGCAAGAATGAACAAGAAAAGGGATACAATCAAAACCATCAGAAAACCTCTCATTTTAACATTAGCAGTTGGTGGCCTGGGAATTCTCTTGTTTAAGAGCCTCCAACACCGTAACTGATTCTTCATTCTAATATTTTTACTGTAGGATTTTTCTTTTTCTCCTACACAGCTTACATTTTTTCATAGCGTTGTACCCTTCAATCGGGATAAAATACTGCTCATGGATCAAACTGATCTGTGATTTTGAGGCTAAGAAGGCAGAATGTGATGCTTTCTGATTGATGAGTTTTGTTAAAGAAGGGAATGAATTAGAAAATTTTGGGTTCATTTAATAAATATGTTCTTCACTATATGTTTTGGAGTTTCAGTGTGTTTTGACTTTTGATGTATGTGATAGTGAATAAGATTAGCAGCCACTCAGCGCTCAGGATGTAGACTCAGAGAGTGACACTAAAGTCTCTAACGGTCAACGGAGCCATCTGAATATTATAATGATAAATCTAACTTGTCCACCTGTTACGCCTAATTTAACACTATACAAGAATACTCCAATTCTTCCCAACCAACTGAAAGGAGGTTAGGTGAAAGCAGAAATCGTATTAAACCAGCAAATGTCAAGTTGGCATAAAAGACTCGTGAGGAAAATGAAGTTTCCTTGACAAGTTAAAAAGTAAAGGACAGAGTCATCACGGTACTGAATCTCTGTTTTGGGAAGAACAAACATAAATGACAAAGTGGAACCAAACTAGTGTCCGGTACTCTTGGTGTCCAGTATTCATATTGAAGTCTGATTATTCATTCTGAATTCGTGTCAGATAGGGTCTTATTCGGAGGGTAGTGTTCAGTGGCGTAGCCACATGGTGGAATTGGACACCCTTGGTCGGAAAAAAAAATCGTATATACAAGTAAAATGATACACGAAATAATTAAATAACATATTTTGGACACCCTTAACATAACAAGCTACTATAGTCCAGTGGTTTCACCTCCTTGGAATGAGGAAGTGCTCGTGTGTTTGAATTTATTGTGCTATTTCTGGACACCCTTTGTGAATTCCTGGCTCCGTCACTGGTAGTGGTAGTGTTCTCTACCAATTAATAAGCAACACTATGGATCTTTATAAAGGATGATTAATGTCTTAACTGAAAAATTAAATGATTATGAAAAGGACAATTAGTTAGGCATGAAAATGGTTTAAAGCAGCTATCAGCTCAACATTTTTTATAAGACTTATTTGGTACAAGTCATTACCATAAAACTCAGTTTGGCCATTTGCCATAATTAAGTTTCTTCAAGTTATTCTCCAGTTAATTAAAAGCTTAAATTAATAATTAATAGTATAAATATTTTATCATTATTTATATCAATTGATAGTATATAATTGTCATACATAGGATACTTCAATAATTATGGAGTTACAAGTTGAATTATTTTAAATCTTACCTGTATATTAAATCTTTTCTTTATTAATAAAATAATTATGTGGAAACAAAATTTTAAAGTATCATAAAACAAGAAAACGTATATTCTATTATCTCCTCCCACTTTCAACCGCTAAGTTTTTGTACCCTTTGATCGTACTTCAACTTCTTTACAATATGACACCTCAACTAGACAACATATCACGAGTATATCTATATTGGAGCGTAATTAAATTTGAATTCACATATTACATGACCTATTACCGAAAGCAATACTTCCAATAGAATTCTTTTTAGTTTTAATTTTAAAGACTTAAACATGAAATCTTTAATTAAGATAAAAAATACGAATCATTCCACTATAACATATATTGATGCCTGGCTTAAATTCCTAGTCGTAGATTGAAGATACCTCTTTCCTTTAATCTGTCCAATCAAGTTCCAAAGTCATGTACCCAATCTTTTAAAAGGGATGGTCCTTCCTACTCTAAAAAATAAAACAAGAAATATTTAATTTAAAATAAATAGAAAGTCTATAGCAAGATATGCCTAGAAAATAAAAAACTACTATTGGTCAGTAATAAAAGAACATCTAGGACATGACTCTATATACCCTAATAAGGTACGTAGCTGATAATTTTTACTTTTTTTTTTTTGTGTATTGTGTTCTGATTACTAAACTATTTTGTTGTTGTTATTGTTTAATTCTTTCTTCTAGATTTTCTCTAACTGTTATGTTTTCTTTATTTGAATTCCATGCTCTTGAGTCGAGGGTTATTTGAAAATAATATCTCTACCTCATTGAGGTAATGATAAAATCTACGTACACTTTATATATCTGAATAAAATCTGCTCCTCCGTAAACGTGATTTCACTAGTAAGAGTAATGTTCTTAACTACTAGGTGTGCACCAAAATTATATTTATGCACACTTAAAATTGAATATATAGAGACGTGAGCTGATGCGAAGTTAAAAAGTAGATTTGGGTGGGGGTGCATAAGTGACGTGATGTGGAAAGCACTCTCATAAACCTCATTCGAAGTGACTTCTTTTCAACTCCCGAGGCTTTCTCCTTCACTGTCACTCTCCAAACAGATCTCATCTTCCACAGACACACTCTGCTCTTTTTGTTCCCCTCAATCACCATTTTCTATATTACTCTGCTAATTATGCATTATTAGCATTTCTCTAATGGATCCTCATTCTACTATAATGAGTGCGTTTCAAACTGCGCCTAATTTGGCGGAGATCTGGCCCTATCAGCATCTTCTCGACCACACAACAAATCACGCCGCCAGAAAGCGACGCGACGATGATGAATCTGCCATTGGTGTTTCAACTAGTGCAAATGCCTTGGTCTGTATATCTCTGTTAACTACTTTATTCATTGTTCAGTTGCTTCACTACTTCTGTTAGCTCCTTAATTTGATTGTCACTCTCAATTTGTGCGGCATAGTTTGGTCAATGAAATTTTCATGTTTTTTGAAATAAAATTTTTATATTTGAAAATTACAGTCCGATAATTACAATAACTGACAATTGAAAATGTTTTGAAGATATAATGAAAATGTCACGGGACTCGAAATCAGAAATGTGCCACATAATTAGGAAGGAGAGAGTAAATTGCATTATAGTTGGAATCAAAAAAAAGTTGTGTTTGGCTGATTTATAGATAGTTCTGGTATGGTACAGTATTTACTACTCCCTTAGTTTCAATTTGTTTGATCTATTTTGACTTGATACAAAGTTAAAAAAAAAAAAAAGGCGTTTGAATCTTGTGGTATAAAATTGAGGATATATGAGTCATATATCAAATGTAACAAAATGTCCTTTAATCTTGTAGTTTTAAACATGCCAGCCGAAAAGTTGAAATTAAAGAGCTGCTAAAAAAGAGAGAGGAAAGGCTCAGTCTTTTTAAAACAAACTGAAAACAAATTGAAACGGAAAGAGTGATATTCAATTGGCTACGCAGTCTAAGAGAGTTTCTGTTATTTTATCTGGCTGATTGATCTGCTAAATGCAAAAAGCTGGTGAAGACTGAATAGGGTAGTGCTACATTTGTTATTGATCTTAATTTCCTGTTTCTTGGTGCAATGTTTCAGCTTGTATAAGTGGATCTTAGCTTGTTTGTAGTTGATTTATATCAGATTTTAGGGTAATATGTATCAAAATCTTGTGGTCTTTATTGTTCTTATATCTGTTAGTATTTTCTGGTAATTGGAGCAGACTGAATCTGATAGTAAGCGGCTGAAGGCCACGAGATCAAACGAGAATGGGGAATATTCAGGAGGAGGGAATTCAGGAAAATCTTCAGACCAACCTGCAAAGCCACCAGCTGAACCACCTAAGGACTACATCCATGTGCGAGCGAGGAGAGGTCAAGCTACCGATAATCATAGCCTAGCAGAAAGAGTAATTCTACCTATAACTCTTTCTTTACTTGAATAAGTTGTTCAATATTTGGTATTAAATGATGGTAATTTGTAATCGATAATGGAACTTGTTGATACATTTGGTTTGCAGGCCAGAAGAGAAAAGATTAGTGACAGGATGAAAATCCTACAAGACTTGGTCCCTGGTTGTAACAAGGTATATTTTTCCTTTATCTTTCTACTGTGTCGAAAAATCTGAAATAATTACCTCATTCTGATGATCAACTGCTTCTCCATTTGTTCTTTTATTAGTTGTTAGATGAATCTGAAAATATATACTAATAAGAAAAATCGATAATTTCTAATACCTGAACGATTGATATACCTTTTTGTGGTTTTGGACTGTACTACAGAGTTGTCTCTATCTTTTTGTTGAAGATGAAAGGGTTAAGTTTCACTGGCAAAGCCTGCTCACCTAGTCCTCCTTTTCAAACTGAGTCAATGTAGTACTCCTCAGTTGATGTCTCAATGACATCAACTTCGATATATAAAATAATACTTCATCTGTTTCAATTTATGTGACATTGTTGGTATTTCGAGAGTTAAATGAGTTTTTCTTTTGATCACATTTTTTTGAATTGTTAATTATGTATTATCTTTTTACGTAGTTTCCAAATATATAAATGATATTTCACAAAACCTAAAGATTATATATATCAGAATTCACTCTTAAAATTAAGAAGCTCGACTCTCGAAATATGGAAGGACAACATAAATCGGAACAAAAGGAGCCGTAGTTAGCGAATTTCATATAGAGTGCTCATGCAAGCAAAGCCTTGGAACTTGTCTTTCTTGCTTATCATTATGAGCAACTCTTTAATTTGTTGAAAATTTAGTTAAGTGGATGCAAAAGGCTATCTGTTTGAACCACTTGTTAAAGCAACAACATGTATGTTTCATCCTATTGTTCCATGTCAAAGGTCTATACTTGACCTCAGAACTGTATCGGCCTTCTTACCAGCAGAATGCTCTCCTGCATTTGTTGGTGTTAAGAGAACCCTCTAATTCTACATGCATCCATTTGTCAGGATGCATGAAGTGTAATGAACCTATTGTCTCTAAATTACCTGCATTTCAGCCTACGTCATTGGTTCTGATTTTAACATCTAATTTCTTCAGGAACATATAGCGGAATGAACTGATGTCTCTAAAGTTTCGTGCATTCTAGCCCCATCGCTGGTGCTAGGATGGTAGAGATTTAAACCCTTATTCTCTTCACATAAATTAACATCAAAATGTGAATTCGATTAAATTATATGTATCTTTTACTTCTGAATGCAATGGGAAAAGTCAGTTTAATGTTGTTTGGTTACAGGTTATTGGAAAAGCTCTTGTCCTTGATGAGATAATCAATTATGTCCAATCATTACAACGCCAGGTTGAGGTATGCTCTCCACCTATCTTGTCTAGTTGAGACTTCTATAGTACGAGTAACATTTTTTCTTGATTCCTCAGTTCCTATCAATGAAGCTTGAAGCAGTTAATACAAGAGTAACCCCAACCATCGATGGAATTCCTACTAAAGACGTAAGTGTTGTATGAGAAAATCTTTGTAGTAGTTGAATTCATTTCTTTGTTTTGCATGTATAATCTTGTTTGTCAAGCACTGTTAACTCCACTAAAACCTCATCTATCTTCTAAACTTACTAGTACTAATTTGCAAGAGTAAACTGTATTGCCTTCTTTGATATCTGTCCTTTTCATGCCATAACTCTCTGTCAACCTTGAATATAGTACATGACTAACATTTAAGTTAGTATATTTTTGGGCATACTGGCCATGTGCTCACATCTAGCAAACTGTGAGTTCTGAGTCTGGCTTGGTACTAGCTCCTTGAATGTGTAATTAGTGATTAAATAATAGCACCCCACATTTCTGGAACTTGGCTGAAAACATATTGATGAATGATTTGAATGTTATGGATATTCAAGCATTTCGTTTTACAAGTTATACCTTAAGTTAGAAGATGAGCAAGATTGCAGTGAGTGTGGATAAGAAGAACCCACGACATCATTTAGCAGCACATTGAAATTTAGCTCCTTGTAAAACTAAGTGAGGGGTAACAATCAAAGCAGAAACTGTAAAGAGAAAAGAAGAATATATTCTAAGAACTGAAAAAGAGGAAAATACATTCATTGATTTCACAATGTAAGATAGCATTAGATTAGTACTTGGGTAGAGTTTTCCTCAAGTTTCATTCTCAGATGAATACATAACAAAGTGCTTTGGTTTTCCAGTTTGGGCAGCAAACATTCGAGACAAACACTATGGCATTTGGTTCACAAGGTACAAGGGAATATGCTGGGGGAACATCACCAGACTGGTTGCACATGCAGATAGGTGGTGGATTTGAAAGAACGACATAAAGTAAATAATCGGAGGCATCAAAGGCTAATAAATTCTTAGGAGGCTAATGCTTCCCCCAGGAACTGCCAAAATATATAACAGTTCCTTGATTTATAGGTAGATAATAGCTTGTTTCTGATCAGGAACAGAGTTGTTGTATGTCATTAGGACACTGCGAACCAAATCACCATCTCCTTGTGTAATGAACACAAAAACTTTCCTCCTTTAATTTAACAGAGCATTTTCTTTCACAGCAACTGAAACAAAAATGCTAAATGAATAGTACACTGGTGAGAATGCGTATTTGACATGGTTGGTAAGGTATATCAAGAAGCTGTAATATGTGCCTGCTTGTTCTGAAAAGCATTCATATGTACTGCTTTTCTTTGCCAAAACTATCACAACTAGACAATATGAGCTTTGGGCAATAAACAGTTGTTAGTGTGCTGCAAAGACATGAGTATTATGTATAGTTCAGATTATAAGTGGTGTGTTAAGAGTTAAAGACTCTTAACTATTCATTATAGAAGATTCCCAAGCATGGGAAGAAGGCCAATGAAGTCAAGAAGAAACTTATAAACACTCTACTCCCTATAAAATCTGCTGAGATCTTCAAACATGTAAAATTCACATTGCTAAATTTAGTCACTATTACTTACAGAACATTCTAATGCTAATAACATCTTTTGTTTTTTAAGGAATTAATGATTAACCAGATGTGACTAGGCTCAATCAAGCAGTGGGTTGTGTTCTGCCATATGAACTCCCACCACTGTTGAAATCTGAACCAGTAGACTGAAAGTAGGAAACAGCTGACCAGAGCACACGTAAAAACAGAATTGCTACAAAGACAGCACCACCAAGTGAGCAGATCACCTAAAAGGACAGAACCATCGTCAATGGGCAGTAGCAGAGTTCAATTAAAGATCAATATTTCACCCACACAAGAGCAGAAGTTGATCTATTTACCATAACCATGCTCTAAATCAGAATAGAAGACATAAAATTGTTTTGTACAAAAACTTTCAGAACTTGTGATGTGTAATACTGTGATCTTCTTAAGTGGTTGAAGATTTTGGGCCATCAGTTCATGTGCGCATATGTTGGGTCAGAAACATGAAACAAGTGTTTTCACAATCCGTCAACATCAGATAGAACTATCTAAACATGGTTGCATCCAGACATACCCTTGATTGATCTACTAGTAACTATATAGATATAGATAAATTATGCATCCTCTGATGCTCAGTGAAAAGATTTTAACTTTTTCTTTTTCATCTTCCCATCTATTTCTTTCTCCTTGTTAGTACCCATCTACTTGCACTTTCATTTTGCAAGTCTTATGTTTGATAAATTATAATATCTCTTTTATATTGCATTCTTAGAATTGCATATCTGTTTTCTTTAATTAGTGGATTAAAGGCTGCTTGCATCCACAAAAGCAGCAGAAAGCCAGATTTGGTTAACGGTTAACTTCATAAAACAAGCAACAAGTGTAATTACAGAGTGTGTGTGTTTGTGGGTGTGCCTAAGGCCTAATTCAGGTAAAACATTCAAAAATTGGCATGGCAGAGGAATACCTCAAGAAATGCCTTCAAGATGGAGAGTAAAGCCAAAATTAGAACGCCATCAACTGCAAAAGTTACCTGCATTCCTCCAACAATGAGAACAGATGGAAGAGAGGATTTTGAAGATAATTTATGTAAATAATCAACGCTGGATGAGCTAGGAAATCTATGGACGATGCACAATCTCAGTACTAAAATTGGGCGTTAGTAGTTGGATGTGACATCGTGTGATGACTATGTTTTGCAGGCTAAATTTTGCGAGTTAAAATCACCTCCATGCTTTTAAACACTCGAGGCACCACTATTTTAAATCTCATGTGTTAATTTTTGAGCTTGGCTAGGGTTCAATCTTGGGAGGAGGATCATTTGGCTTAGAACTGTAGTTGAGGAGCAACACTATATCGTGTGAAATGAAATCATCAGGCCTGGGAAATGTTCTGTAACGCCACATACTAAGAGTGGGGATTATTGACAAGTGCACTAGAAGCAAGTCAAGGACTTAAGAATTACCCTCTTATGGTGATGCATAAGTTGGTTATGTTGACACAACCACAAGCCAAGTGCACAAACTTAAGAACTGAAATGTCCCCACTCGAGCAATGCTCAGTATCAAGTAAGAGGCAACCAATCGCCTTAGCCATTTACAGATGCACAAACACAATCTAAGAGTTCCTTGCCATGAGTATTCTAACTAGTTATAGTCAAAGCTTCAAGCACGAAATGAGTGGCCTGATGTGATTCAAAAACCCCACTGAATACAAGCTCTACCATGATGAGATTGTCATAGAGACAATGCTTAAGGCATTAGGAAGCATGAGAGTATTCTGCTAATTTACTTTGAGCCCACGACCATGGCACCAGATTGTGCTAAGACGGCTTGAGATGAGAGTAAACTGGGTAGTAGTTTAATGTGACCACAAGCGTTCAAGGCCACTATCACTGTAGGAGAGTTGACCCCTAACAACATTTATGTAAAAGGTGAAGAAAGCTCCTTGCCTCCCTCTACACATAAATAAAAAGTTTATCATTCAAACCAAACCAATGGCCACCATACATCTACAAAAGAACCAGAAGAATGCCAAGTTTTTCAGCATCCTAACACAGTTAATTACTTAGTCACCTCCCAGTCCAAGAAATATAGTTCTTCTTTTTGATGACTGTGGTGTCCGGAACAGCTTTTGCACATCTTGACTCATTCCACGAGATACCTACCACCTCCCACCAACAACAAGCACCAGGTAACTCTGTCCACCAAGGCTAGGACACATGGGAAGAATCACCTAGTGTGTTTTTTGTCTCCGCTGGGAATTGAACCTGAAGAAGTAAAGGAGTTTCTAATTCGGGTAGAATAAGCTGCACTATGCTTGTGCCTAGGAAAGGACACTGATTTCAGGAACAAAGTCATTTAGAATTCATTTCTCATACTATAAGCACACAAAGTCGAAACCCATTGAATCAATTTATATGCTGAACAAATTAAGAAAGAGATAAAAGAGTGAGTTTGAAGATTTACAAGCTGTGGAGAAATGACGTCCGGTAGTATAGAACGAGTAGCTTTCTTAGCACGCTTAGACACTTTTTTGAACATACTCTGCACAAATCTAACTAGTAAATCAATACTGCTCTCTGTCTCCTCTTCCTCATCGCTCTCTTCATCATCATCTTCCTCCAATAATTCACCATCTTCAAAATTCATTCGGTACATCCTTTCAGCTGCTTCTCCAATCGATCCATCAAACTAAAAACACAAGCAAAAAAATGGGATTAAATCAACAAAATTAAACGGGTCCAAATAAAGCAAAATGAGATCGACCTTGGCATGGCAAATGGTGAATCTGGGGTTTAGTGAAGGGAGAGATAAGGAGTGAGAAATTGGAGAAAGAGAAGATGAAGTTATTGAGTATAATCTGAAGGAATATAGTGATGATATTGGCAGTACGGCAGCTCCCGCCATTCAATTTTCTGATGAGATTGATTCGTCCTCACTTTAAGATTCTGTAAAATTTGATAAAGAGACAACTATTGAACACTTTTTTTCCCCTCAAATTATTAGTTTCGTCATAATCTGATTGACTTAACTTAGATGTCTACAGTATGACATAGCAAATAGTTTTGAATGGGAGTAAATTTGATGAGAATTTATGATATATTTCTCTCATATTGCGAGATTTAAGGTGTGTTTGAGTTAATCAAATTAAGGAGTGTTTTTAAAATGGCCAATAGTTCGGAGATGAAATTATTATTAATTCATGTCAAGGTTAGAAGTATTTTCAATACTTAAAAACACTCTTAAACTAGACGCGAATTATTAATTTCATCCTCATAATATTAACCGTCTTAAAAACACTTATTTACTTGGCTAACGGTCCCCTTAAATGGACATGAATTCACCAAAATACCTAGAGACTGCATCATGCATGTAATTGGTTGAACTTTATGAAGAGATGATTATCATCATGTTGATAACCAAGAGACGTAGAAGCTAGATAATTTTGTAGTGCTTGTTGTGCATTATAAGAGTAATCTCATAAAATAAGTGTCATATTATTATTGTTTAATTTCCATGGTATATACACTTGCAACACACGTGCATATATATAACTTAAATACATCAAAATATTTGTCCCAAGGAGATAAATTTCATGATAAAAAGAGTAAATTAAAACTTTCTTATTTATTATTTCATAGAAATACAAACTGAAACGTCACATCCATACATACATAATGAAAACATTATTGCACATTTTATTCAAAATACACACACACACACACACACACATATATATATATATATATATATATATATATA